GTGTCGAGAGTTCACTGTCATTGACGGTGCGACGAGAAACGATTTCGAGAATGATCCATGGATGACAGTCATTCTGTTCTACACCACTCCTGTCGACTTGTGGCAGGAGTACGTTTGGGAAAAAATGGTCGAGGACTGCCCTTGGACGGACGATTATAAATTCGCGAATATGTGCGAGTTCGGGAGTTTAATTCCTTTGCCCGCTGATGTGCTATGTTCAGTTCAGTGCCGTCACTTGAGTGCCACGCTGCTGTTTATCGTCGCTACAATGTTTTGGACTATAACATCGTGACTACTTCACCGCGCACATGGCCCCGTTCGCTGAAACACGAGTTGCTCGCCTGTGCAAACCATTCCGATTTCATCGGCCCATACCCCTTGCGCTCTCCCGGGTTGCTGCCTCGAACGGTTTCGTATTGTTGCATTAGACTGCGTCTTGGGAAGTGCTTTTGTTGTAGAGTCCTTTGCGTCACGTGCTCGAACCGGGATGGGACCTTAACTGACGCTGTGGTCTACGTGTCCAGGAATGAATTGGACCTGGGTGACGAAGAGCATGCCCAGACTGTGGGGAGCGGTCAAGGGTCTGGTGGTCGTGGTCAAGGGTCTGGTGGTGGTCCGAGCGGTCGAGGGTCTGGTGGTGGTCAGCGGACCCGCACACAAGATACAGTGCGGCAGGTAGGTTCGGGGGAGAGGTCTGTGCATGGACAGGCAGATAAAGTTCCCGTCACAGACTACAAAGATAAATTCTGGATGTTGGACTCGGTGGGCAAGGCGGGGCAGGCTGGAAGTGGTTTGATGTTGTACGTGGTGTTCAGAGAAGATATTAGACTGATAGGTGGTATTCAATCTTGGGCAGGGAGGGATGGTCAGCTTGCCACTTTCGAGTTAACTATGCAACTCAACGGCAAAGGTCACAGAGTTACAGAGACGAACCATGTTGTTCTAATGTGGAGAAACCACAAAGGATATTGTAAGTCACTTGTGGATGTTTTCAATCCTGATCCGGATAGCTGACTCCGGTTACCTGAACTCCGCCAAGTTCTCGCGTTCTTCGACACGAATTCGGTTGAGGGCCATCGTCCGATGGCCCACAAAGAAAACACTATTACGGAACCGAAAAGTGTAATGTCATCGACGCGTCCGACTGTGGGTGCCATAACGATTCGGTAGCCATCAGTGACCATGCCCGCCGTCCGGGAAGAGAGACGACACGCTCTCGTATCCACGTCGGTGGTCCCTCGGGCGGGACAAATCGCTGCCAAGGGTCCGACTCATGCTCAGGCTCCGCCGCCGGCTCCGAAGAAATTTCGTTCGGTTGGAGTGAAAGAGCCGTTGTCCGTGTTACATGACGTTGTCCTAACATCAAGCATGTGTGCCGAACCTATGTATGGTGCTGTGCACCGTGGTGTGCAACCTTTGTATTTCGGTGATCCAGGAGAGGGGAGTAGTGGCGAAGGTTCACAAAGGGAAGAGGAAGAGGAAGAGGAAGGTTCTTAAGAGGGGAACGATAGTGAGAATATAATTAGTGATCGAGAGCGTCGTGGATGGCAATCAAAGAAGATGGGCAGTGGCAATTTCGTTCCCACCGGCGTATGGCGCAATCACGATTTTCTGCACATGCAGAAAATCAGATCCGACTGCGGCTTGCTCGACTCAATCCAAATGTTTCTCCATCGAGAGTGGACATAAGGACGAACAAGGTTTTTCAGGAGCTCAAGGCATTGCGAAGACTTTAGTACTTAGAAGAATTTTATGACAGATAAACAAGCCCGACATTTGGATATAACTGGCGCATTGATGAGGGCGACGAGACCGGTGGGAAAAGGGGACAAGGCCCTAGCGGTRGAGCGMGTGGAGAGKKAGGTGAACACCCAAGTGGTGACGAGGGCGGAGGTGACGAGGGAGGATGTGATAAGGGAGGTGATAAGGGAGGGAGTGGTGAGGGTGGAGGAACATCTGAAGCGCCTGGGTATAGTCAGCCAACAACAGGCACATCAGAAGGGCAAGCCCATCGTCACCATGAGAGAAGCGCCAGTGGTGAAGGAGGGCACATCGACATTCGTGGTTTGCCACAGGTCAAGTTGCTTGTTGCAGTGGAACAGGTTGACGAAGGATGTGAAGGTGGGCAAAGTGTCACCACAACACTCACAGCTATCACAATGACAGATAATGAATGGTGTGATGGCAGTGGCGCAAGTGTCTTCCCGTTGGCGAGAAGGGCAATATTGGTAGCCCACAAGGCCATATGTGGATGTCTATGGATATTTTGCCATATGGGTTGGGAAGCCAAGGGCGGCTCAGGGCATCATTGGATGAAACCATGTATCTGGCGGAAACGGAACAGCAACTCGAGGCTCACACTCCACTTGATGAAGAGACTCAAAGGCGACTTAGAGATTCCTGCAGAATTTCAAAGTCCGATATCGGAGGAGAAGGCACAACAAGGGTCTCAGGAGGCAGGTACTGTAACAGGCTACCAGGAGGAAGCTATGCTTGTGGAGGAGATGGAACCGGGCGGCGAGCCTAACAGTCCATTTGATGAAGACATCCCTGGCAGCGACTTCGATACTGGTACTTGAGGATCTCAGGATTCGCCTATTGTATTCGATACTGCTAGGAAGAACGACACTCTTGAGGGGCTTGTGGCGAAAGAAGCAATTCAAGTGTCGGACATCGAAGAGGATGAAGGGCATATTGTACCAACTACTCCAGAGCAACAGACACCTGTGGAGGAAGGACGAGAAAGTACACTTCGAACTCYTGTGCARCAGTYCARCCCATCTGTCAAARTGATAAACATCGARGAATCCCCTYTCACATCAAGACAGTTCRGRGATGCAAAAGAAGACGKTGCYCAAGGGAAAACYRCAGTTAGTCGCCGAGGTGAGCACTTACCTTACGAAGTTAATATATGTGTAATATTGTACCTAGAACGAGAGATGATTTTCTGGTTTTGCATGTTGTTGTGCATTGGAACTGTTCCATGTTTATTTGCATATATGTAGTGTGCCTTATAGTGTGTCCGAATCGGTAAATGAAGCACACGATCGACTTTTAATAGTTTGACTCACAATAYYTTACTGCTATTAATATTCATTTACATTCATGTTGTTTTAGCGGATTTGTAATGATATCAAAATGATCGTTACTCATATTACTCGTTACTATCGGTGACGATTGTGCTCTCTACATTGATGAACGTGCAGGCCTTCATAAAGGACAGTGGAAAGCCCCTCGCATGCACTCGCAAAGGAACAGTGATAAAAAAATTATACGTCGTGGTTTGCAAGCCTTGTCAACGCTGTCGTTGTTACCCAAAACAGTTAAAAGACGAGCACAACCTGTGACGATCCCGTTTGTGAGGCCAACTGCTCTAAGGATGTTTAAAGTTGTGGGAATAGGGACGAAACAAGGAAAGAAATTGCACCGTGAAGTTTGTATTGTACCTGTTGTGGAAAGCGGCAGCGACAACGAAGTTGGCAAACAAGCACTGTCATGAACTTCGTGTCCGCCTCTTATATCTATTTTCAGAAAGACACTACTTGTATGAAAGTCTTAGGCATACCGTTGTTGTTTACCTCTGTGTTTGTATGCAGTGCCTGACCACTCGTTCAAGTTTCCTCTCGCAATGCAACCCCTCACTGAGGTCAAGATGCAGTATGTTGAAAGGGTTGTGAAGACCGGTGAAGAAAACGAAGAATACGGCATTGTTGTTTACAAGGGTGATAGGAAGGTGGAAAAGAAAGACATTATGCTCATCATTGAAGCAGAAGGATGGTTGAATGACGAAGCCGTGAATTTGTATTTGTTGGCAATCCAGATCGACAATGATAATGCCAGAGAAAATTTGATGTCTACAGGACAGATAAAAGACGAAAGTTCGAAGGACATTCCATCTGTGTATATTCTATATTTTTTTTTCTATGTCAGGATGGCATCCGCGACGTCCAGAGAAATTACTTACTGTGAGGGAATGAAGTGGGTTAGGGGAAGAAATATTTTCGATTATAATTTTGTACTTATCCCTTTGAACTTTGGAGACCACAGGGCTTTGGCATGTGTTAGAATAAACGCTGCAAGTGTGAATTCCGACTATTAAACTCTCTCCCTCGCGGCGACCGTCTCGCAGCGCTGAAAGTAGTATTCGCATTTTTTATAATGGAGTTCTGACGTCGGAATCTTCATGAAAGATATCAGGTCGACGAGCTTGCGACACCTTTCGAGACATCACTTGATGGTTAACAATTGTTTCTATGGTTCATATTGCTTTCCACAATTCTCAAATGTTATTGTGCAAATGACATATTGTTTTCCGGAATTTCCAAATTTTATTGTGCGAATGACGTATTTCTCAATTGCCAATGTTAAGTTCTCACCATTTCGCCTTGTTTCATCGCTATTTTTCTCATTTCTTCCTCTCTTATATGTGTTATTTTACACTCGAAAAAAAAGTGAACATGAAAACAATTTCACTTTTGACGAAAACACCGTTGACCATCCTCACGGATGGTCGCAAGTCCATCACGAGCGACCAGATAGTCAACTTCCTTGCTGATGGGCCCACGGGCGAGTACCTTTTCAGGACTGTGCAGCGGGACGGTGCTGTTCAGGAGACAGCGGAGGCCATCGTGGAGTGATGGAAGGACGTGTTCGACAAGTTCGGTGTCGACAAGGTCAAAGCCATTTGCACTGATTCCGTGTCTGCGTATGTCGCTGCCTCCAAGTTCCTCGCGAAGGAGGAACCCAGGTACATCCGCATCACTTGGCTTCCGTGTGCGGTCCATGTCTGCAACTTGTTGTTGTCAGACATCGCGAAGGACTGGCGTGACGGGAGCCTTGGGAAGAGGGAGGACACCATCATCAGGGCTCGAGCTGTCGTGCATTTCATCAGGGAGCACGGGGCGGCTCTGAGCCTTTATCGACGGTTCTTTGCCGCCCACCCCTCTTCCGCCTCCGCGGCGATGGGCTGTTCCAGCTCTGCGCCACCCCCGTCTCAGCAGCGAGGCAGGGAGCTTGTGTACCCTGCGCAGACGAGGTTTGCCACCCACTACTTGAAACTGGAGAGGTTGCTGGATCGTCGCAGAGCGTTGGAGGCGTAGATGATGAGCGACGATTGGTTGCGGACTGCATGGAGGAGGTCCATTTTTCTGCAGGCAAGGTTGGTGCGTCATGAGGTGCGGTACGCGCCGTTCAGGGAGCACGTGGAGGACATTGTGGCGATGATGACGCCTGTGATGCAGTTGCTACGACGTTTGGACGGGGGGGGGCGCGTGATGACTCGCATGTGGTCGTGGGTTTTTGTCATGGTCGATAGGGTGGCGAGAGAGAGCCTGAACATGACATCGAAGGACGAGCTCCACATCGTTATTCAGGCTTGTCAGGCGCGGATCGCTCATATGTTGGAGCCCGCACATTGCATGGCCCACATCCTCAACCTGCGGCACAGGAGCATTATTTTTTTTGGAGCGGCGAGGCATACCGGGCACGAGCGGACACTGGCAGACGAGTCGCTGCGATACCTTCGCCAGCAGACTGGTGGTGACGAGGATTTGTATCGGACGTTGCGCACGCAGCTGGCGGAGTTTCATTCTCGGGAGGGCGATTGGACGTATGGAGGGGTTGAGGGAGAGAGGGATGCGGCCTCCTGCAGAGGGGAGAAAGAGACGTCGCAGGTGGGGCAGTGGTGGGTTCAGCACGGGGACAGGGTCCCTCTCCTTCAGAGTATCGCCATTCGCTTGATGCACACATGGACGTGCGCCTCTCCGACGGAGAGGAATTGGGCCGTCCATGAGCGTGTTCAGGTGAAGAGGCGCAACCAGTTTGGTTTTATCAAGCTCACTCGTTTGGTGGAGATATCCACCAACTTGAGATTGAGTCGTTGTCAGGGGAGGGGTTCAGGGTAGGTTCTTCCATGGGAGGACGCTGAGGAGGAGACAGAGGACGTTATTCCTCCGCCTCGTGATAAGGGTGTTCGGCCAGCTGACCGAGTCACCGAGCCACAGCGCGACCGGCAAGTCCAGCGCGGGCGGAAGGATCGCCTTTCAAAGGCACCTCCCAGCGTCGAGACGTATTTTGGTCGTCGCGCCACGGTGCTCATGACGACTGAGTTGGAGTCAGTGTACGATCCCGAGCCTGATCCCATGGCTCAGGATGCGATGGAGGCCGAGCCGTGGTCAGATCCGGACGACCTGGCCGTGGAGTCAGAGCCTGGAGGTTCTGATGACGATGACGATGACACTCCTCTCATCCAGATTTCGCGTCCTCGCACACGTGCATCCACGGCGGTCGCTGCACCGTCTCCCGCAGCACGCCCTCCTTTGAGTGCTCCCGACGTCTCGTTGCAAGGCCAGGCGGACCGTGTTGAGAGCACGACGCCACACCCTTCGACTGATCGTCGCGGACATGGTGAGGGGGGGACTCGGGAGCGCGTTGACGAGGGAGACGACGGCGACAGGGAGGGATATGAGGGCAGCAGTGAGGATGAGGATGATCCCTGTTATTCCCCGATGCGCGGACATGGTGACGATGACGATGGCGAGGGCGGCGACGGTGGACAGCCTGTGGGTGGTTTGCGGAAGTCCGAGAGACAGTGTGGCGACCGATGCAGTGGTGCAGGCAGGGGAGGCAGCGGGTCGGGTGTTGGGGGTGCACAAAACTTAGGTGGTGCAGGACGTGGTGGCAGAGGACACGTAAGGCGAGAGTCTGCATCGTCCACTCGCACTGTGCATTGGGTTGATGAGGGGAGGCCCGCTGAGGCGCCTGTGGTTCCTCCTTCCCCTACAGAGGTTGCTCAGTCCCCTGCTGAGTTCGCAGCGGCGTCTGCGGATGGCCCGGCGGCGTCTGCAAAGGGCGCAGCGGCGTCTGCGGAGGGCGCAGGCGGGTTTGCAGGTGTTCAAGTTGGTGGCGAGGGTATACAGGTTGGGAGGCCATCTTTACAGTTGGGTGCCGGTTTCAGCGACAACATTTTTTATGTTTCGCTAGGGTTTCCTCCGACACCCGCAGGGGAGCGTGTTGGTGCCGATGCGGACGCAGCGACCACTAGCACACCCGTCAGTCAGATAGTCCGTGGTATAACTTCTTGCAGCGCGGGCAACATCAGTAGTAGCATGTTGCAGGAGGCAGCAGAGGGGACACCGGGTTGGTCAAGGCAGCACGAGCATGCAGCTAGGGATGATGGGGAGTGTCGACCTGTGCAGGAGCGGGCGACAGAGTCAGAGCAAGACAGGATCGACCGCGAGGAGAGGAGGACGGCGCAGGGGTTGGCTAGCCACTGCGAGATGACGCAGAGTATTGCATCGAGAGCACGTGTAGCGTGGATGCTCGAGATGGGCGTTGCTGCAGGCGATGCAGAGGTCGAGTGCGGCGGTGCGGGCGGAGGGGATGCAGGCGAGAGACCTGCGTCGCCAGTTCAGGGTGTTTGCGTATTGCCTCTCGGTGGGGCCATGTCGGCAGGGGAGTTGGAGCGGCAGGCGCGGGAGGACCCATTGCAGGCAGATCGCCGCGGCCGGATGGCCAAGGAGTGGAGGAGGTTGATGGCAGAGGGCCCAGCTTACCTGCCTTGCAGCCCGTCAGTGCCATCGTCCACCACAGATGTCAGCACACCCGCACATGTGGAGGGTCCAGGCGCAGCAGAGGCGGGACAAGGCCCCTCACCAACACCCGTTGGGGATTCTCCGTCTCCTCAGTCACRGAAGAAGAAGATGAGAGCAGGGAAAAGTCTTAGTACCGTGAGGAGAGTGACGCAGACGATGCGGGGGAGTCAGCCCGGGTTGGCCGGTTTACATCCGCGGACACGGGCGGCTTTGGGCGGGGACGTTGTCGCAGACGTAGTAGGATGGCAGGAGAGGGCCTCCAACCGAGTGGCGGATCAGCCCATGAGCGCACCTGCTGAGGCGACGTTGCCATATACCGTAGGGCGTACAGTGGGTACGAGCAACCACGTTGAGCACAGTGCGCCCCCCGGGAGGAGCATGGCTGCACGTATATTGCGGGAGGATATAAGGGMAGTGACAGCGCAACGACCGTCACAGGCATCAGTCGTTTGGGAGTCTGGCACAGACGATTTAGAGATGCCTTATGGCCAGCGGAGGAGGGTTTCCGTGTATGATCTTCTTCGACCACAGGGACGGGTTGAGGAGGCGCCACAGGGGGAGATTCATGCTCCGGATATTTCGCACGCGCCGRCAGGCGGCACAGGTCGYGGGGATGGTGTCACAGGTGTGGTGYCCCAGAGGAGGAGGAAGGACATTGTGGATGACGAKGATGCATAGTTCCACCATTRGTCTTCTTTCATCCTCTGTTTCGTAGTAGTGTACARTATATTTAGTGCTTCGGACGAGGCCTTGTGTTTGTAGGAGTAGTTTCTGCGGGTCGTCATGACTGCATTTGTATTTGTATAGGTGGTTAGATTATTGTATACTATTTCCATGCAC